TTTTTCAATTAACTATAATTCTGCTATTTCTATTCTGCTCCTTAACAACCGCACAAAAGATGCACTGCCTTAGCAATATGTAATGAATTGTGGAGCTACAAATAATTATGGAAACCCTTTATGAGTGAATTTTGAAGGGGCATCTTAATCATTTGCTATTTGTCACTTTTTATCTGTCCACATTTTATCAGCTAAGTGAATTCTCGACCCTCATCCAATACCTTTGCCTTTTCCATTACCATTTTATTGCAGGATTATGGGATTTGAGTAGTTAGACTGTCCACAAGAAATACGTACTCATGGAAACCATGCCCTGCCAATCGGTTGTTCCAGCAATTCGTGTGTTTTGATCTATTTTCTGCCTTTTTTTAATTATTTAGGAGTTAATAACTGTTTTAATTGAAAAAATTTCCCCAACATACCTGCATGATCATTACTGGTCCATGTTGCAATATAATGGAATGCAGGAACTTAGGATTGGGCCAGACCATTGTTGTCTTAAAAACACCACATCCTACAAATTTCTCATGTTTTGCTGTCAGATCATTCACCAAGTATTTATCTGGTTTGCTGATAAAATTAATCTGTTCTTGCAGTCAGATTTTATACCTTCACCACTGTCACTATGGATGGTGGACTCAAAAATGAGGATAATTTTCAATTTATGTCCATATGTAAAACTGACATTTGTACATTTGCCATCCCCTCCACATCATTGTTTTTCTTTTTTTCAGTTGAGAGGAAAATCGGACTGATCACATGATGAGCTGCTGAAATGGAGGCAGCAATTTTTCATTTGCAGCCAAAATGAAAAATCGCCCTCATTGTCTTTTCATTTTTTCCTCTTTAAATTTGATACATGCATACTAAAACTTACAATGCGTCCACATTTTTATTTATTTATGTTTCTACAAGTTTAGGAAGGCTAGCTCTCTTACTTCATGACATGAACCAGGGAAGAACATCAAAGCATGGTTGGACCAGATTGCCTTGTGCTACTGGCCAAGATTAATTCTCATGCTGTGATTTACTGATCACAAAGTTACATCTCCACATGACCCGAGCTAATGGAAAATGACGATAATACATAACATCATGCTCTAACAATGAGCACTATACAACTTACTTCTTCATAAAAGATATCCATCCTATCAAATATCCTCATGATTGTGACCTTCACTGATCAGACAAACTATGAGGCTTAAATGTATACCATATTCTAAGAAAGCATTATAATCTCATCACTCATACATAAACTATGCTTCTCTATATTGCATTGCATAAAAACAGGCTCTGAATATTTTTGCAAACGTACATCCTATGCTGTTAGAATCTTTGAAGAGACTGATAACATTTTAAAAGATGTAAAATTCCAGGGAATGACTGAAATAATCACAAGAGAATTTCAGGATTTTGCTGTAACACCAAAGGCAAAATTAACTAAGTTCTATTTCAGTAGACAGCATTAGTTCTAAACTCCAGAAATGTTCCCCATTGATCTTAAAATAATCAAAAGTCACCCTCTATTGTTGTACTTCATTCAGTTCCTTAAATTGACACTTCATTTTCTCGGAACCATTCAAAGGTAACCCTTGGCTCCCAAGGGCTTACTTAATTTCTTTTCCTTTCCTAGTCAGGTAACTTATAATTCAGAATTGACTTTTACAGTGAGGGATGAATTGGAGGTCCTTCCCTCAAAGCAAAGCGAGGTAAATCTTCTAGCTCTGATTAAAATTTCAATCTGAGCATAATCTACTTAATGAACAACAGAGACTTGCTGCCTCTCACTTGTGTGAGATATTCAGGGAAATCTTAAAAAAAAAGCTCTGTGAACTGAAACTACAATGGCTTCTAATGGATTCTTCACCACTCAAAGTTCCGTTCTGTGGCAGTGTGAATCACATGGGTTTCATATCCAGGTAGAAATGTGAACAGACTGTCCTTTAGATCCCCAGCTCAGCAATCTGGAAGTTAAAGAGACACTTTGAAACATATTGAAATTCTTAATACATTCTTAATATCTCCATATGAGATATTGAGAGTAGTAATCTATCTAGAGTTATCATAAATGTCTTTTCCATTGTCCACAGGTGTGGGCATATTGCACCTTTTTCCATTAAATTAATCTGGGGCTCACTGCCACCTAAACAACCAAACTGGCCAAGCTTGTTGTCAAGTAGGATTGAGAGCAGAAACATTTCTGAAGAAGGGTCTAGACCCAAAACGTCAGCTTTCCTGCTCCTCTGATGCTGCTTGACCTGCTGTGTTCATCCAGCTCTACACCTTGTTATCCCATGCTCTTTATTCCTGTGTTTTCCTTCAAATTAAGCAGAAAGTCCAAAAACATAGCAAACATCTAAACTTCATATTTGTAACATGGACCTCAATCCCTTGCCCAGCTCACTTTCTAGAATGGATAATCATCCACATGGAATGCCAATAGATCACAGTTCGGGTGCCTACCACATCTGAAATCTTGAGAATACCTGTAAAGAAATACCAGGGGATATAATGTGCCACTCTCCCCACTTCAGTGCCCCTTACTACGTCCTTACAAGGAGACTAGTTTTTAAAAATTATTTTTTTTTTAAATAGATGCTTTTTCGGGACTGCAAGCCTGATTCAGTACCTTGTCTCCCATTTAGGCATATTATCTCTGGTTACGACAAATGTACATCTGGTCCAGGATGCCAGACCCTGTGCCTGGTCTTGTTAACAAACTCCTCGAGCTCCTTTGAAAGTTGCAAATGGAATACACCAATACACCCATATCTCTAAATAACATTCAAGCTCAATAAAAACTTAATCAGAAACAAATAAAAATCTAATGAAGCTCCATTTGTCATATAAAAAAAAACTGGGATCAGGTGTGGGATATATGGATCCTTTAGCCTGCTTCATGGAATCATTGTAAGATCATATCTGATTGTGTTTTACCTTTATTTCACTTTCCCATCAGAACCCCATGTCCATCAATTCCTTGAGAGTCCAAAAATCTATGTGTTTCAGCTTTCAATACTCAATAACTTTGGGACAGAGAATTCAAAAGAATAACAAACCTGAAACAGTTGTTGAACTTAAAGTGGCAAGACTCACAATCCAGTGTAGTCATTGAACATTTTAGAGAGAACTATAATTGTCAGAAGTGATAAAGCAAACTTTATAAGCCATTGTAAACATAATTATAGTAATCTTTTGATTAAATCTCAAGTTTCAGAAACAAGGGAAAGATTTGGAAAAGACTAAACAGAGACTGATAGAAATTGGCAATTTTGTGGATAAGGTAAGTATGCAACACAATATTTTGAAAGCAATTAATTTTGTCCAACTATATGATAAGCAAGAAGGGAGTAAAATACATATGTGATAAATGTTGTAATTTGAAAATCAATAGGAATATGTTCTTGCTTATGATTTCTCCTGATAAGACTTCAGTGAGAGATGCTGTCAGCTACAGCTACATTTGGAATGGTGTAAAAAGCAGGAAGTGTTCTATAAGGCTACCACTTCATAGCCACACCGAAAAAACTGAGCCACATTTCATTTCATTTCCAAATCGTGTGCCCCATAAGACCTTTGACATAGCCCGGAAATTTTGTAAAAGAGCTATGGCTAGCTTCACAAACCCATTTTCCCTCGATTCTAATCGGCAACAACAACTTATATTTATATAGAACGTTTAATATAATGAAGTGTCCCAAAGTACTTCACAGAAACATTACAAAATAAAGTAGACAGAGAGGCACAAAGGAAATGTAAGATCAGTTGATCAAAAGCTTGGCTAAGAATGAACTGAAAGGGAGAAAGTGAGATGTAGGCAGAGAGGTATAGGGAGGAAATCCAGAGCTTTTGGTCCTGGCAAATGGCGGAGCATTTATGATTGGGAATGCTCAAGTAGCCAGAATTAGAGGATTCCAGGTGACACAGACAGTTGTGGGTTTGGAAGAGGTAAAGAGTGGCAAGACCACAAAAAAATTTGAAAATAAGGATGAGCTTTTTAAAGTCAAGACATCGTTTGACCAGGAGTTCATGTACATCAGTGAACAAAACAGTGATAGGAAATGGAGCTTGCTGTGAGTTAAGAACTGGACAACAAATTTTTGGATGACCTCAAGTTTATGGAGAGCAGAATGTGGGACATCAGCCAAGAGTGCATTAGAATCGTCAAGTCTAGAAAGAACAAGAGTAAGAAGGAGGAATTCCGAAGAGAAGAGCTAAAGCGAATGAATACAGATAATGTTACTGAAATAAATAAAAACAGTCTTTGAGATGACTCGAATATGAGTTCAGAAGCTCATCTCAGGATCAAATGTGACATCCAGGTTGCAAACAGACTGGATTAATGTCAGCCTGCTGGCAGGCAGCAGATGAAGTCAGTACTTAGGGGACAGAGTTTGGAACAGAGACCAAAAATGTCTTTAATCACAAATATTTGATATAGACCAATATTAATGTTTATCATCATCACATCATCCCAATTAACAACATTGTAAATACGGCACTGGGGACTACAGAGTTATTTTTGGGGCAGATGGAGAACTTAAGGAAGGCAACTTTGTTCTTCTATTGAAGATTCGAATTACTTGGCCCACATTAGAAATATTGAAAGTTGTATTGAGATGTTTTTGATAATTATATTGCGTAGCATTCTTGATTCCAATTTCCCATGGAAACAAAGATGGATTTATTTTCATGATATTAGGAAGAGAATGAGGGCATGAAAATTGTCAAATTAGAAATGCTCGCAGTCAAACATCACAGAAGGCAGCTCTCCACTGAGATGGACACTCAATCATCTGGTCTGCACACTAAAAGTGACCATTTTGTTTGTGTGTGCCTCAAAAAGCAACACTTCCCCTCCACCATCGCCAATAAAAATTATTGGCAAAATATGTAAACTTCAAGCTCAAATCCTACACCTGAGGAACACATTGTCTAGTTCATCACTACCATAAACTCAATCCTCCCAGGCAATGACAGGTGATGTACCTCACATTAGCCGCTTGTCAGCAAGGATGCCACAGATACTTTCTTCAAGAAGATTACACAGTTTGTTTCTCCAAGAACATTATATCATCTTATGTGCTCATTATGTTGGGACTTGAAAAGGCTTGCTACTTCCAGACCCTGAAGATAATGTTCATGAAAATGGTGATGATCACAAGGAAAATGACCAGCAATGAGGATCTTATGCAGGAATGAGTAAACAGCATAAGACAGCCTGAGGTGAAATGAAGTTATCCTCTATGCAATGTGGATATGGCCGGCAAGGCCAACATTTGTTGCCTATCGCTATTTGACCTTGAACTGAGTAGCTTGCTAAGGCCATCTCAGAAGGATGGATCTAGAGTCACAACATGTCCAGACCAGCTAAGGGTGATAGATTTTCTCCCTTCAAAACATCAGTGAACCCCAGATGGATTTTTAATGACAATTGCCAGTGTTTTCATGGTCATCATCAGTATGCCTTTAACTCCAATCGATAAATTGAATTCAAATTGCACCAGCTGGCATCTGCATTGATCACTAGTCTGGTGACATTGCTGCTGCACCACTACCTTGCTTTATAGTAAAGCAATATTACTGAAGATTGATTCAATGGAATAAATCACTTCACACCTGCTTGTTCTCACAAAATGCTTCACTGGCTGTAAAATTCTTTCAAAACTAAAGTTGTAATTTTTCAACTTTAAGCAGCTTTCATCTCAGGGCAGATGGTCTCCTAGGAGGAACAGCTACCAACAGTCTTTCTTGCAGTACAATAGAGGGGAGAGACAGGTTAGGAGCACATGAAGGCATTAGAGGAAGGCTTGAGGTACCAGCTAGACTCAAAGTCATTATCCCTGGGGAGATAGCAGCATCTACATCCATGTGATGAAACTTACTAGTATAGGGCACAGGCTCAGAGATGAAATCACATACCTTCATATCTTCCAAGGGCTGTGGCATTCTTTTGCTTGGACAATCTGCAGAACAGTGTTAGCTGCTGTACTGGAGGCTCCAGTATTTTAAAAACACTTTGTTGTGTCTTGATATCCCAGAATGCTCCAAACTTGTCATTGTAACTATCTCCAGGGTAATCTACAGGTTGTGAGATACTTCCTGCAATATGCTGTAGATGTGGGTAATGGATTGCTTCTACATTCCATCTTAACAATTATATTTATCGAATCTATCTCCACTTGAGATGTATCCTTGTGGTAGTTACTCTTATGAAGGTGTCGAGATCGGCGTTCCTGGATTCTCAGCTCAGGATGGTCAGCTTTCACCGAATACCCACTGTAACTTTTATTTGCATAGTGTCTTTAATGTATCAGAGATGCTTTGTAAGGAAATTCTGGAACTTAGGCTCTTGACAGTTAAAGATATGACTCCCAAAGATCTGCAAAAAGGAATGGAGCCTTCCCTTTATTCCACTCCCAGGTTTTTATTCTTTACCTTGTTCCATGCTTCACTCAGCGCCAACTCTTTTACTTCTCTAATTGCTCACAAGTAGGCTCCTCCATCCTTGTTCTCCATGGAAAGTATTGTATCACAGGGTTGTTGAGGAAATGGCAGGAATAGGACTTCCTGACTGGCAGTAGATAATGTATGAAGTTCTTGGATTGTCATTAGAGTGTCCAACCTGTTTCTTGAAAAGTACTCCATGAAGTGAAATGCAGGAAAACCTTCTTAGCAATGCGGGTGGTGACAATGCATCTGGAAGAGCTCACTGCTGAGTACAAAAGAAGAGCAAAACTTTGGGAAAGCACACGAAGTTGATACGGTTTCGGCATCAATCTTCTGCTGTCAGCTCATCTCCAACCTGATGGTGTCCTATCGGCACTCTTTGGTGTCGTCTCAGAATTTGCCTAGCTTCCTCATCTTTAACTTGGTGGTTCTCCTCCAGAAATATTTCTCTAATAAAAAAATGCAGTATTAACATCTTGTAAGTGGCAAGGACTCTGTCCTCCATACAAGTGTTTGCACGCCAACCTGATGACAATTGCAACTGCATTGTTACTTTAAATGAAATGTGTTTGCAAATTAGGAGTGGCATGTATTACATTCACCGTGAGTCAAAAGAGCGACTGCTAGGTTTTGACAGTGATGAAGTGTTTGAAGAGATTGTCTTTTGTATTGGTGAGTACGCCTGGCCACAAAAACTTTCCCTGGAGAGAAAAGAATCAAGGTTCAATTAGCAGCAAACAATGTAGGCTGATTGAACCCTTGATTGTGCTGGTCACCTATATCTGGAGAACCAATGTCATCCTCCTATAGCAACCTGTCATCTGCACTTGTGAGAAAACTTGGCACCACAATTTCTGTCTATTTTACTTCTCTAGAAACAGAATGATCATTTTAAATAGGAAGTTCTTTCCAACCGTTGTTATCATGACTGCAGTTCAGTTTAACAATTCTTACCAAATGCAAGCTGTTGCATCTGCACCCTGGTCATTCTGCTATTTGCCATGAATAGTGATTGTTTTTTACTGTGGATGAGTCATGTCAGCTACCAACGATCAAAACCCACCTTTACTGTTGTGTTTGATCCAGATACTTTTCCAGTTCTTCACTACCTATCTCGTATTTATTCCATTTTCGCAGTGATTGATAAGGGAAGCTCCAACAGTGTTGATATAACAAATAGGTTACCATCAACTCTGTTTAAGCAGGAGATTTTGACATAATTGCTGGTTTTTTTCTATTCTTTCATAGATGTATAAATCCTGGTCTTTGGATGCTGTTGGAAAGTGTTCATGAAAGATATAGAGACCAATAATTTTAATAGATTATTTTGGTTTTAGTGAAATAATAGACAATTGTGAAGAATGAAACGGACCAATATGATAACATGTGATCATGAAATTATTAGTCCACATTTTGTGGTCAGGAGCAAAGTGAATTTGCTCACTACTAACTTTGGAGTGAGCTGCCCAGAAAGATCTAGAGGTCTCTATGACATGAATTTCCCCATTCCAGACATTAATTTGAATCTGACACCATGTCAAGGGGATCTTCGGGCATCCAGCAATTGTATTGTCATTAAACAATGTGAGTAGCCAATAACATTGAAGAATTCTCACCAACAGCAAATCAGGAAGATAAAGGCACTGATTATTCTTTATTTTTAACATCATTTTATTGAAAGTGAAATAAAGACTGAGACATAAGTATTAAGAAAGAAATTAAAAATCATAAACTTTATAAATAACATATTACTTTTAAAAAATTGGTGTTCTTTTCATCATATTTGTGGAATGTCAAAGGTCATAAGTTAAGTTTTCAGTGCCCAAGAGGTTGTTTAATAATAATTATGATGTTAATAACAATTAAAGGTCCAGTTACACCTCATTCAATTTCTACTTGACTGCAGTCTGTGGGGACATCTACAGCACACCTGATGAAAAAGCATAGAATCAATGATGTTAACTTCTGACTATCACTATTGAACTGTGTTTGTATGGTCTCCAGGAGTTGCTGTAGGTTTCAGAGGGTGATGACAGTGAACATTCAGTTTAGTTGTTATTACTACTGTAACATCCAGCCTATGAGTACATAGTGATTGAATATGATCTATTTATGATATTTGGAGGTTTCATTGTCTTATAATGGATAGAACTGGCATTAAGTAATGCTAATACTGAACTACTTATAGCTAATATATGGGCCCTATGTTCCTTTGGGAATAAGAGTTATTTTATTATAGTTTTACAGATCCTTGAATATACGAGTTGCCCTTGTTGGAGTTGAAGTTTGGACTGACATGGATAAATGTTCAATAACTGGAGACCCATTCGCCACCCTCAATGAATTTCTTGACTGGAGGAAAGTGAAACTACTGTCCCGTAAATCACATGACAATGCCCAACTCGTGAGGTGAGTACTGGCTGGTACAATTAATTCTGGAGCCGTGGAGTCAACAAGACCCATTCATATGTGCAACAGTCTTAATACATCATGCAGTTGCACTCTTTTTTACAGTTACAGTAATATTGCTAATTCAGTCACATCAACTTTAACTTTTTAATTTGATACATTTATATTTCAAACAGTTGTGAAAGTAAGAGAGAACATACAGACAAGGGATGCCATTTAGCCTCTCAAATCTGAGTCATCATTCAATCAGATCATGGTGGATCTGTGTATTCACTCCTTCTACCCACTTTCAGAATCTTTAATATCCTTCTGTTTAAAAAAATGACCAAGCTCCGTTTTAAAATGATTCCAGCTTATGAAAAAATTCAACTTGTTCTGGACAATCATTTAATATATATTGAAGCCTCATTGAGATACAAATTACATGTATTAACCAGAATGAGTGTGACAGACATTGTAATACTGGTCTATATGCATCCAGTCCACCACACAAACACTACGTCTCATTATACACTAAAATGCCACTTTACTGTCAGTTTAAAGGCAGGTCAGCTGCCATATTAGGATATAAGTGCAGAAGAATGTTGTATGTAGATTACAATTCCAGCTTTCAATTTGAAAAACATTTGAAATTGCTGATTTTGGAGGGCAAATTATCTCACCAGTTTTCAGATCACCACAACGCATAACATTCTCCAACTAATGAAATACCCGAGCTGAATCTGAACTTAGTTGTTGATTAACAGAGTTAGACCACAGGAACAGTTCTCATGAAAGATATTTACATAAAACCTCGTGTAGTTCTGCATGTGCCAAATCACGACAGGTAAGAGAGATGTTAGCAAAGAACAGCAATCTGAAACAGACAGCACCTCATAAATTAACTTCTCAGTTAAAAGCAAAGTATAAGTGAACTCAGTTGGAATCCTCCTCATGTGTGTTTAAACCACTTCCTGTTCACTGGAAAATATGAGATTCTGACAATAATTAACAGCAATGGCTATTTTAGAATGCATGTTGTGCTATCAAAAGGAGTTGAAAATCTACATTGAATTTATTTCAGGCACTAGCAGACAGCATGAACATTGCCAGTATCACTAATCCTCATTTCTAGACTAGAGAATTAAATGCTGCTGTTTTTCAGTTCTTTTGCTAAGTCTCTGCTGAGTGACTGGATTCCTTGCTGGAATCTGATTCCACAGGCATTAAGGATGTGAGATTTAACAGGGATTATCGGCAGGCAGTTTAACCGTGGGGTCATTATGGACAAATCCAAACTTGTCCTCAACAATTGCTTTTACAACAAGAGTCATTAGATTATGATTAAGACTGGAACTTTGGCTGAATTTTTCCACTGTTATCTAAGATGCCACAGCCAACTGTAACACCTCTAGTACAGTCCTGCTGAGATCAGCTAACTCAACACAAACCAGGAATCCATCCCAAACTTTATGGCACAGTTTATTGAAACATCAAGTGAGACTGTAATTTGAACCTGACGACATCAAAAGAGTAATTTATCCACAACTCAATTCATTGCCTTAATTTTGTATCAGGTATTTTTTAATTTTAGTGCTTAAAATTTGCTGTTTCTACATTATATGAGAATAAACTCTCTGCTATTGAAAGAGACAGTTGTAAGCTCAAAACTCATATTTAATCTATTAAAGTTTAAATTAGGATGAGTTATTAATAATTAACCAAATAGTTATTTTTATGATGAAATCCTGCAAAAGGATTTTCCATGGACTATTTGTCATGTCAAACAATGAAATAACGCTGGTGACAAAATGTAAAGTTTCTTTCTTCTGAAAAATATAAAAATAAATTACCCCAGAAACATCACAGGGAATAAATCAATAATTCTGGATCCCACTTTTTAAATGACAGTTTGTCACAAGGATAAAATGCTTCAAAACCTTTGATGAAATTTAATTTCCCCACTGGAAGTGGACTGAGAGGTGCTTGAGTGGTGGTGGAGGAGGGTTGGGCGACAGCAGGGATGCCTGTGGTGATGGTGATAATACATATAATCAATTCAGAAACCATGGAGTGGAGAGCCTGTTGTCTTCCCTACCAATTAATACAGGGTTGGGGAAAGTCAAGGATGCTTACCTGCCCAGAGACCAATTACAGCCCAATTAATGGTCACTTAAGAGCCACCATGTAAGATCAGTCAGAATGCAGCTAAACAGATTGATTATCAATTTAAAAATCCTTCCAATGTGCCAATGACGGGCAGTGAGAGTGGGAGAGTACCCTGGTCAGCCAGAACTATATGGTAACAGTCTTCCGGGTTAAAAGACTCCATACACAGGTTCTTGCAATAACCAGGTGTCAACATCATTCTGAGAGACCACCATGCATGGACACACCCAATCACAATCACACAGACACACACAAACACACACACTCATAAATGCACATATAATCACATGCACATACCCCTCACAAATCACACATAATCACATACTATCACACAGACACATTCACTCTCTCTCTCTCTCTCTCTCTCAATGCACATGATCACACACTTTTTTACGGATTTGTTCTATTAACTCTGTTTGAACACTGATGGCCTCATTTCTGGCTTGAAATTAAGGGTCTGTGGAGCCTGTTCCCAGGGAAAGCCCATTCAGCACACTGGGACTAAATTTACTGGCTGTGACAATGATCCCATCTGCTGAACAGAAAGTCTGTGATTACCCTTCTGCAGGGAACATTGATGGGAACACTGACAGATTTAATTGTCATTCAGGCAGTGAAGGTTCTTAAAGGCAAAGGTCCCACCTCCAAGGGCTGTATTCAGTCAGAGGACTGGCAGATTTTTAGTTTCTACAGTGACACTGCGAGCAATGGCCACTTTTGGTCTTTCGACAGGACCAAGAGAAACAACAATAATGGAAACCTTGCAAGAGAGGTGAGTGCAGTGGGCTTTCTGGGATCAGTGAAGTAGCCCCTGTTAGTGGGGTAGAGTACTTTCATTTTTGAGGGAAAAGGGAGCCCTCAAGTCAGGGGAAAGGGGGCAGTTCTTGCTGCAGGGGGCACGCTCCAGAACACTTGTTGACTCACACTCCCACTAAGCCTGAAAGGAAGTCTTCAGGGTATACCATTACCTGTTCATTTCAATTGGCTTCCAGCAGGAAGTCTGTCCTCAGCCTTCTCTGCTGCTGACAACTGGAGAAATTTGAAAAGACCATGGCCTCTTCTCATCTCTTCACATCTTCCCATCCCACTAAATGATACCCCCACTTCCCACTTTGCTGCCACAGTGAGGGAGTGGGAATGAAATTCTTCCTTCTTGGAGAGTAGCTACACTCACAGGGAGTGTGGGCTGAACAATCCATAGCCCCTCCCGTCTATTCCTTCGACCACAGTTTGTTGACAGGGAGCACTAAATTACCCTCACTGATGCATGTTCCTCTGGACACAGGTAAACATGGTCCAACTCAAGTTTCATCCTTCATGTTTGAATCCACTCAGGGTTACAGGTATCTCCATGATATTCAACATTCCACAGATAGATATTCCCACTACATTCTGAGATCCATACTCAGTGCCATGTGTTGTCACATGCACACTCTTGATCTCTCTCGCCAACAACACCAGTTCATGCTGGCTCAGAGTTGCACTGCACCCTGGTTCCACTTCTTTCTGTGGTTCATTCGATGTGCTAACAAGAAACTTTTCCTTTTCCTTTTAGGCATCGAGTAACACGAGATGTAACAACTTAGAGATACCCAAACCCTCCCAAGCCTTCTTCCCCTCCCTTCACTCTGATTCCATCCTGTCTCCCAACCCCGCCTCCTATTGTGTATTCACCATCCATCCTGACCTTCTGCTGTTGATGCTGAAAGTTCTGTACTTAACAAAGGTCTCAGTTTCATCCCTCAGAGTCCCCATCCTAATGAATTTTGGGCACAATGTGACACCTTCCATTGTCTTCACCTGCATGCCCATTTCTTTGGACAAGAGCTCTCTCTCCATACCACAGACCCCTTCACCCACCTCCAACACCCTCCCTCCACCTGGGCCCTTCCCTCTGGCTTTTACCTGCACTCAACCTGTTCATTGAGAACTGTCAACGTGACATTGGTTGCCTCAATTTTCTGCCCCCCACCCCATCACCCATTCCAACTTATCTTGCCAAGAACTGACTGTACTTCATGCTCTCAGATCCAATCCTCACTTTGTAATTAAGCCTGCTGACAAGGATGGTGCTGTTATCCTCTGGAAGACTGACCTGTACATTGTGAAGGCTGAGCACCAGCTCTCAGATACATCCTCCTGTCTGCCCCAGACCATGACTCCACCATGGAACATCAGGCCATTGTGTCCACAACAGTCACTAACAATATTTCATCTGGTGATCTTCCCCCCCAGTGCCTTCAATGCCTTATCATCTTCCAACCCCTAACAGCTCGCTTCTACCTCCTTCCCAAAATCTACAAACAGGGCTGCCCAGCATACCCATTGTTTCTGCCTGTTCTGCCCCACAGAACTCATCTCTTCCTGTCCCAACTCAGTTTTTCTCCCACTTACATCCGTGATTCCTCTGACGCTTTATGTCAGTTTCAGAATTTCCAGTTTGCAGGCTCCAGCTGCCTCCTCTTTACGATGGAAGTACGGTTCCTTTACATGTCCATCCCCCATCAGGATGGTCTCAGGGCTCTCTGCTTCTTCCTGGAATAAAGGCCTGAACTGTCCCCATCCATCAACACCCTCCTCTGCCAGGCTGAGCTCATCTTCACACTGAACAATTTCTCTTTTAACTCCTCTCACTTTCTTCAGAGCAAAGATGTGGCATGGCTTCCTGCATGGGCACCAGTCATATCTGTCTCTTGGTGGGGTACATGGAAAATTCCTTGTTCCACTCCTACTTTAGCCCCCACCCAGAGTGCTGCTTCCCGCTCTCGCCCGGAGTTGGAAACTTATCAATTCCACTTCTCATTTCCACCCCGCCCTCACCTTCACCTGGTCCATCTCTGACTCTCCCCTTC